AACTCTGGATAAGGCATTCGTTATTACTTGCATATTTAGTACAAGGTCAGAATTACTAGGAAACTTTGGTCTGTCTAATTTGTCACCGCCAAGTCTTTGCTCAGAGCTGCCTTTGCAGTGCATCGTACCTGACATAGTCTAAAGATTGCAGTCCACCTTTACTCCATTCATTCCGAACCCCTTTATTCTGCCATTCTGGCCTTTTTCTTTTTAATAGCACATATCCCTTCTAACATTACATACCAGATAGTTTGTGTATTATGTTGATTGCTTATGGCGTCTCTTCCAGGCTATTAGCTCTGTAAAGGCAGATTTTTCTCAGTTTGTGTATCCTTAGCATGAAGAATAAATAGTACCGGCCCTATAGTAGATATTCAATAAATATATGTTGAATGAATGAACTTGGCAAAAGCAGGTATTCTTTAGGATTCCTATTAGTAAAAAGACAGATTCTGAACCCTAGTTATTATTTTATTCATGAACTCATTGGGGATGGCAGAATCATCAGTTGGAATGTAAAGAAAATAATAGTGTTCTGGAATCTCCTTGCCTTTTTTTGGCAATAAACAAGGAACTTGGATTCAGATGAAAAAAATCATAAGATTTTCAGATATTATCAGTGGAACACATTCTTTAGCTATTAAAATCTAGATTACAAAATGATAAAAACACACACAGTCTTTTTCATATATAGACTTGGACAGTGCTGGTTTTAAACAAATGACTTAGCTTTTCATTTTATTTTTCTCCATTTATTTACTTTCTTATTTTCATTTTCAACATTGTGGCAAAACGAAACAGATGTAAGAGTATGAGGTACTGAGGCAGTGGTGAGGGAAGTGGGAGGAAGCGAGGTCTCTGGAGTGGAAAAGGTTTCTGCAGAGTCGTCCACATGTGAAAGTACATTCTGAACCTTTGTTGGAAAAGCTGAGACGTGAGACAAGGAGGCACAGTTCATTAAATTAGAGTATACAGTGTCTTAAAATGTTCATTTAGCGAAGCTGGTGGTCGTCTCCTAATAAGTTCTAGGATATACTGTAGTTCATAAAGACTAACGTTATTATTTAAAGATATATTTGACTTCTAGAATTCAAGGGAAATAAAGGTGATACTTAATGTCTTAGGAAGATGTTAAGTCCAAAGCTTAAATGATTTGTCTAATATCACACAACTAATTCATGGCAGAGTTGGTACTAATTTTTATCACAAATTTTCAATGAAGTATCCTTATTAGGAGAGGTGTGTATAGACTGTCTTTGGAGATAATCCAGGGAACAATTATGAATTTGTGTAGAGATTTATGTTTTAGCTTAAAATTTTTTAAAATATATTTTTATTGATTTCAGAGTGGAAGGGAGAGGGAGAGAGATAGAAACATCAGTGATGAGAGAGAATCATTGGTCTGCTGCCTCTTGCATGCTCCCCACTGGGGATTGAGCCCGCAACCTGCACATATGCCCTTAATCAGAATCGAATCCAGGACCCTTCAATCTGCAGGCCAATGCTCTATCCACTGAGCCAACCAGCCAGAGCTTAACAATTTTTTAAAAATTTATGCAGATATTTCATCCTATATAAATTATTTATGGACTTTTTAAGTGTATTAGCATGTGGTATTTTTTGTTTGTTTTTTGTTTTTGTTTTGTTTCTTTGCAAAAAATGTGCTTATTGAGGAATTATCATTTGGAACTTGAGGACATGAACAGAATGAAAGATCACCATAGGCTGTCTTAGAACGGTTAAAAAAAATCAGAGTTTTAAAGGAAATTACAGCAGGGAAACAATTCTACATGATCTCTTTTGATGTTAAATATTATATTAGAGGGAATTAATGATAGTACAGTGAAAATACCTTACGTAGAAAATATTTTAAATTTCAATTTGAGAAGAAAAGATTACTCTTTCTGTCATTTCAACATTCTGTGTAAGTGAACTAAGATACCCTGTTTTGTATCTTTTCACTTCCAGTAGTTTGGAAGTGATTGATTTAAAAAGAGAGAGAAAGAGACAGAGACAGAGAGAGATATAATGATTTGTGTAGATAATTTGTATATACTTTTCCCTGACCATGAAGTTAGACCATACTTGTGTGGAGAAAGACAGCCAGTCTACACCCTACCACTTCCCCATCAGGGAATACTGCAAGCATGTCAAACTCAAAGGTGAACATGGGCCAAATAAACAAGGTTTAAGTTTATGTGGGCTGCAAAAAAACAAAAGCTTCAATTTTCATAGAAACGTAGGTTTATTTGATAGAGACATGCTGAATACAAAGGGCTGAAGTAAATGAGTAATCGTTAACATAAAATAATAGTACATTTTAATAAAAATTAATATTTTTATTGAACATTAACTTATCAGACACTGAATAACTGTACAAATTAATAAGTATAACACAAATAAACCTATTTTTCTTGTTCTCGAAAAGCAAAATATTTTCTGTTGCACACACCAAACAAATCAGTACAAGACTAATGACATGGCAGTCGGCTGCTAAAGTATTTGCTGCCTTTATTAGTGGAGAGAGATGGTGTTCCTGTGTGAAAGGCGTGTAAGGGAAATGAATGCAACATGATTATAGTAATCAGTCCTTAGCAAACGTAGTTCGTTATCAGTAACTAGAGGCTCAGTGCACGAAATTTGTGGACTTGGAGGGGTCCCTCAGCCCAGCCTGCAACCTCTCGCAGTCCAGGAGCCCTTGGGGGATGTCCGACTGCTGGCTTAGGCCTGTGGCACTCGAACATCTTTGGACATCTTTAGTGCTGCTGCAGCCATCCGTGAGCTCAGCTTCTGGCTGAATGGCGCTCCCCCTGTATTGAGCGTCTGCCCCTGGTGGTCAGTGATTGTCATTGTGACTGGTTATTCTGCTGTTGGGCCAATTTGCATATTAGCCTTTTATTATATAGGATTATATATAACAGGATATTGTAAAAATTAAGTTATGAAATTTTTATTAAAACTTTCCTTACATACTGTTATATTGGCTGGGCAACCAAAATATTCATTGTGGGCCATATGTGGCCTGTGGGCTGTGAGTTTGACATGCTTGCTCTAAAGGTTCTTATTTTTTTGTAATCTTTTATGTAAATAGTTTTTTTTTGTAATACATGGTTAAGTGTGACTTATCATGCCACTGAATTATGACTTTATTTTTATATGCTCCAAAATACTGTTTCCACAATTGATTAGAAAGCAGGGCATCGTAGGAAGAACACTAAGCTGGCAGTCAGGAGATCCTGACTTAATATTGCTTGTAAAATGAGGGTTTTACTGTGGTAAATGGGATACTGAGGTTTTTCCCAACTCTAAAAGCTTATGATCTGTATTTGTATTTGTTCATGATCTGCTTAGTGCCTCCATCCACATATTTTCTAAAATTTAAACATACAAACAGTTGTGCGTTATTTCAGGTTTCATTGTTTCCACACAAAATAGTTCCCTGGCGGTGAAGATTTTGGGAGCTAGTACCCCTTGCTTTCGTCTGGTCAGTGAGTTTCCTGCGTGACTGCCAGAGAAACCAGGCAAGAACTTGCCTAGCAGTCCCTGGTGGCTCACAAAAGGTCCTTTTATATGAGACTCTTAGCATTTTGAGACAACCTCTAAGACGTGAGGAATTTTTTTTTTTAAAATATATTTCATTGATTTTTTACAGAGAGGAAGGGAGAGCGATAGAGAGTTAGAAACATCGATGAGCGAGAAACATTGATCAGCCGCCTCCTGCACACCCCCCACTGGGGATGTGCCCGCAGCCAAGGTACATGCCCTTGACCGGAATCGAACCTGGGACCCTTCAGTCCGCAGGCCGACGCTCTATCCACTGAGCCAAACCGGTCAGTGCAAGACATGAGGAATTTTCATATTGGGCCTGCAATGTTTAGGTAATGGACAGTTGCTAACCCTGAGCGGTTTGCCACTTGGAGTCCCAGTATTACTGTTGGAAGTAGCCTTCTGAGTTTTTATTGCCTTGTGCTTGCAGATTATTTTTTTGATTGTAGGTGTAAATTATAGGAGGCCTTTGGCAGATGTGTGTATAGCAGGTCCTCTAATAATGTCTCATTATAATGTTGATGAGATGCCTAGAAACTTAAATTTTATTTGTGGCAAAATTGGTCATATTATATGTCATTTCACTTAAAGCTGTAGAACCTATTGGCGACGGTAATTGAGGACTTACTATACACGATTGTTTTCCCATGCTAGTATCACATACCCATGCTCTTTTTCTCCTGGAAGGCGTGCATACTGTTGTGTGTGTTTTCAGTTAAGTCTGTATCACACCAGCCAGTTTACTAGCTCTAGGTGGAGATGCAGAAATACCCTATTGAATTATTGAATTCTTACCCCAGCCTGGCAGAGTTGTGTTTAGCAGTTCATATATGGTATGTGTTGGAAGGCACGTCTTGGCAAATAGTGAGTGACTTTGGTGGGGAAGAAGTGCAGTCTGGGTAAGATGGCTGGGCTGGAAGCCCCTGCTCCACAGTTACGCTGCTATTGTCGCTTAGCACCCAAGAGAGGTTCACTTGTCATTTTTCATAAATCATAGCTCCAAAGTCAGAGATAGTTCTCAAGTCCCTGAATTATTTTGTGATTTTGCTCTCATTATTTTTCACATCGTCTGGATTTGAAGTTTTGAAGAACTTGGCACTTTGCTCAGATAGAATACGCCAAGGTATTCCATTAAAGACTTACTGTGGGTCTGAAGAAAGCCTTTATTCCTCTTTCATTTCGCTAAGGTATGACGGTATTGGAGCAGATGGAAGGCTAGAGTTTGAGCTTCCGTTGTGTGAAAACTTCACCAGCCAATTGGCTGACTCTTGGTGGTAAGACAGGAAGAGCCACCCACATTTTCCCTTTTGGATTTGAGTCACAGAAAACAGGTTTCCTGTAGAAACCATTTGGCTTCAACAAGTGTAGGAAATTTCATCTTTGATCAGATTGATGTTTTTATCTTCATTGGGCATGTATTTCAAATTAATTATTTTCCTCTTTTCAATCCACAGGTTCAGTTTCAAATTGGAATCTCCTGTAGTACTGACTGCAACCTAATTTCCAAGATTTTTATGTCAGAGGTAGATCAAAAGGACTATACTTTCAGGTAAGGATCTAATTTTCTTTATATTAACAATGCACAGCTACTTTGGCAGAAGTCTAGAGTTACCCTTGCCCCCTTTCACATGTATAGGTGGCACATTGAATTTTCCAGACAGGTTTTTACCTGTTCAGGGTTCCCTAAGAGGTGTCAATGGGGTTGGCTACATGGAATATGTAGAGAAGCTATATGTGGTGGCAGTTAAAACATATTCATGCCCATTTAAAGTGGCTTGCAAACTATAAGTTTTTGTTCCTTTTAGGGGAAGGAAATCATCCTTTCCTCTAATACAGCGCTTCTCACCTGTGGGTCGCGACCCCTTTGGGGGTCGAACGACCCTTTCACAGGGGTCGCCTAAGCCCATCGGAAAACACATATATAATTACATATTGTTTTTGTGATTAATCACTGTGCTTTAATTATGTTCAAATTGTAACAATGAAAATACATCCTGCATATCAGATATTTATATTACGATTCATAACAGTAGCAAAATTACAGTTATGAAGTAGCAACAAAAATAATTTTATGGTTGGGGTCACCACAACATGAGGAACTGTATTAAAGGGTCGAGGCATTAGGAAGGTTCAGAACCACTGCTCTAATACCTGCCATTTTCCTCCCAGATTGATTAATTGGTCTATTGTCTCTCTCTCTTTCTTCCTTCCTTCCTTCCTTCCTTCCTCCCTCCCTCCCTCCCTCCCTCCCTCCCTCCCTCCCTCCCTCCCTCCCTCCCTCCCTCCCTCCCTTCCTTCCTTCCTTCCTCTCTCTCTCTCTCTCTCTCTCTCTCTCTCTCTCTCTCTCTTTCTTTCTTTCTTTCTTTCTTTCTTTCTTTCTTTCTTTCTTTCTCTCTTTCTTTGTATCTATCTATGTATCTATGTATCTATCTATCTATCTATCTATCTATCTATCTATCCTTTCATGTATTTTCTATATATAAAGAACTTAATGACATGGATGGTTTGAAGGTTAATTTCTCTACCTTTGTGGCATCCCAAAGTATTTATAATAATTCTGGGCATGAGAAGATTAGAGAAAAAGATCTGCACCTGAGATAATTTACAATTTACAGGGTTAGAACTCAGAAATGAATTTTCCCAGGAGGAAAGGGAACTGTGCAGACCAAAACCAAACACTTTCCCTCTCTCTCCTTCCAGAAAAACACCCCCAAAACCCCACATTGATTGCACAGAAAAAATTGTGCTGAGTTGGGATTGTCATAGTGTTTCTGGATGCAAATGAAAGCACATTTCAGAGAAGTAATATATCGGCTTTTTAAGCAATTACCTAATTTCCCTAATTTACTTTGAGGTAGTGAGTCACTTCTAAATTAGTTTCTATACCTCTTTAGGCTGGTGACTTTCCAATTTTAAAATATGTGAAACTCAGTTTTAAATGATTGGCAATTGAGCGAATAATCCAAAAATCACTTATCAGTAATGCATTGTAGGATGCCTCTTATAGCAGATTTAGTTTCCTACCTACATTGCCAGTTAGCAGGATTTAGTCTGGAAAGCATTATTAGCACACCAGCAAAGACAGCACAGTGGGGAGGAACTGGCTCGGGGTTTGTAACACACCACAGATGATGTGTGGACATAATTTTTTTCCTGTGCACCCTGAGGTCAGCCTTAGTCAGAGCTTTGCAGTAACTTCTTAACTAATTTCCCTGCATCACTCTTTGTAAAGCTGCTTAGAACATTTCAGGGCCTCCCTGTTATCTATGGCAGTGATTCTCAAACTTTTTGGTTTCAGAATCCCTTTATATTGTTAAATTGTTGAAGCCCCAAGAGACCCACAGGTTGAGAACTGCTGTATTAGAGGAAAGGTTGATTATATCCTTCACTATTGAAATTAAAACCGAGAAAAATTTACATAATGGAATACTACTCTGCTGTAAAAAGGAAGAGAATTTTACCCTTTGAGACAGCATGATGGACCTGGAGAACATTATGCTAAATGAAATAAGCCAGCCAGAGAAAGACAAGAACCATATGATTTCACTCATATGTGGAATTTAATGAACAAACTGAACTACCAAGCAAAATAGAGACAGACTCAGAGAGCAGGCAGACAGCTCGAGGTGGTGGAGGGGGTGGTGGTATTGGTGGGGTGTTGGAGGCATTGAGCAAAAAAGAAAAAAAAAGAGAGAACTCATGGACATGGACAACAGTGTGGTGATTGCAGGGGTAGGGAGGCGGGTGGAGGTGGAAGAGGGCATAAATGGGATAAATGGTGATGAAAAAATAAAATAAAATAAATAAATTAAAATAAAAAAAACCCCAAGGGAATATACATTTCCTTAGTGCAGAGTGATGACGTAATCGCAGTCATGCAGCTTCTGGAGAACATGGTACAATTGTGAGAAAATGAGAGTGAAACAGGCAGGTAGCACGGTGTTATTTTTAAACGTCAAGATTTATTGCGGTATAACATATAAAGTGAAACCTACCCTTTTTAGTGTGCAGTTCTTCTCTGTGTTTTGACAAACACGTATGGTTGTGTAACCACAATGAAGTTATAGCACATTTCCATTTCCCCAAAATGTTCTCCTACCCTTAGCCTCATACCCTCTGACCTATTTCCTAGCCCTTTAGTTTGCTTTTGCCCAAATGCCACATAAATGGAATCATACAATCTGTAGCCTTTTGAGTCTGGCTTCTTTCCTTTAACATAATGCATTTGAGATTCATCCAATGCAGTTGTGTGTATCACTAATTTGTTCCTTTTTATTGCTGAGCCTTACTCCAATGTAAGAATATACTGCAGTTTGTCTATTTACGAGTTGGAGGGAATTTGGGTTATTTCTAATTTGGGATATGTCTTAGTTTTATTATTAAAATAGTTTCAGCCTCACAGACCTCCTGAAAAGGTCTCAGGTACCTCCAGGATCCCAACACTTCTCTCTGAGAACCTTTGGTTCTCCTCAATACTTGCCTGGGTGTGATGTAAATGCCAAGATCTAGCCCAAGGGTCTCCTCTGTGCAGGCCTCTCTAAGCCGTCTTCTCACCATAACTCCTGTGTGCCTTTGTACCAGGGCTGGGCTGGTCATCACCATCTTTGTGTTGCTGCTGCTGTGGTTTCACTGTTCAGTAGTTGTTTAAGGATGTGATAGCTTCCCAGCTTCTTGAGGGCAATGCCTTTCCTCTCCATCCTAAGCACATGCCTGGCACTTAGAAGAAGACATAGTACATGTTTGAATGAATTAATAATAATTCCCTTACATTTGTAAAGCATGTATTATTTATAAGATGTTTTCCCATAACATGTTTTCAAATCTGCAAAGTATCTAGCACAAAGGATTTTTATGTCTTAGTAGAGGCCCGATCCACGAAATTTGTGCAAGGGGCTCGGCCCTCGCAGCCCTGGCAGCCCTGGCTGCCTCGGCTGCCTCGGCCCTCGCGGCCCTGCACCCCCGGCCTCATCTGGAAGGTCATCCGGACAGTAGCTCAGATAGTCGTTCTGCTGTTCGGTCTGATTAGCATATTAGTTCTTTATTATATAGGATTTTGATCAGATAGGTATATTAAGTCTTAAAGTTGTGGTCTTAACCAAGTTACACCTGAGTAGACCTGGGGAGCTTCTAATAAATGTGCTAATACCTCACCAATTACATCTTAATTTCTGGAGGTCAGGCCTGGGTATTAATATTAAAAAAAAATATTACTGTGGAATCTGATGTGCAGCCACGGAAAATCATGGGCACAGAGTTTGATTTGCCATGAAGTCTTAGTAGTGATTTAATCAAGGCTAGAAACATGTTCCAAATTAAAGAAAAGAACAAAACTCCAGAAAAAGAACTAAACAAAATTCAGAGTTCAGAACACTGGTTATAAGGATGTCAAGGAACTTCGGGGAAGAGTAGATGAACTTAGTGAGAACTTCAACAAAGAGATAGAAAACATAAATATGGAGATAAAAACCATAAAAAAGAACCTGTCAGAAATAAAAAATACGTGAACTGAAATGAAGAATACATTATAGGGAATCAAGAGTGGAGTAGATGAAGCTAGTATCAAATCAGAGATTTGTAATACAAGGAAGCAAAAAATACCCAACCAGAACAGCAAAACAAAACAAAAATAATCTGAAAAGATGAGGATAGTATAAGGAGCCTCTGGGACAACTTCAAACATACCAACATTCACATCATGGCGGTGCCAGGAGAAGAGCGAGAGCAAGAAATTGTAAACCTATTTGAAAAAATAATGACAGAAAACTTGCCTAACTTGGTGAAGGAAATAGACATACAAGTTCAGGAAACACAGATTAACCCAAAGAGGCCCACACCAAGACACATCATAATTAAAATGTAAAAGGTTCAAAACAAAGAGAGAACCTTAAAAGCAGTAAGAAAAGCAGTTATCTACAAGGAAGCTCTGATAAGACTGTCAGCTGATATCTCAACAGAAACTTTGCAGACCAGAAGAGATTGGCAAGAAATATTCAAAATGATGAAAAGCAAAGACCTACAACTAAGATTCTGATGTTACTTTTAAGGTGTTTATTGAAAAACAAGACCTGGAAAGAACCAAGAGAACCAGAGAAACTTGCTTCAGGAAGGAGAGCTTAGGATGCCACCTTAGCCTAATTTGAATTAAGGTTGGTAAATAGGAGGCTTTAGACGGGCCTGTACCCTCATGTCCCTTGCCTCTTCCTGAACTACCTATAAGTTGTACAGTCTCACTTCTGAAATTGAATAACCCTTCCCCACTTTCTCCTTTGTTAAAAAATGTGTTATATACCCAAATATTGCCTCACCATCTTTGAAATTTTTATGGGGTTTTCATGCTTTATGAATTCCCCATGTGTATTTATTAAAACTTGATATTCTCCTGCTTGAAAAAAAAAAAAAAAAAGACTAGAACCCAGGTCTTTGACTCCTCTAGTGCCTTTTTTCTCTGTACTGTGAACTTTCATGTGGAACTTTTGTGTGAATGGAAGTGCTGCAGAGACGGAGAGCCTTGGTGTAGATATTAGCGTTTCCAGGGCATGGAGGTACTGTAGCCTCAAGACCAGAACACTGGATTTAGAGTCAGTAGACCATGTTTACATTTGGGCGCTGTACTTATTAATTGTTAATTAATAAATACTTGAATGTTCCCACTTTTAAAATAAGGATACTACCTTAAATTCTATAAGCTTATTGTGGGGATCAAATTAGGTAATGTGTTAGAGGATTTATTTAAAATATAAAATCCTTTTGTAAACTCTAGTGCTTTCTAAAACTTATTTTTATTTTAGCCTAGTGTATTTATTGGCTAACTTTCCTTGAGGGTCATAAATTACACAAGTAATACATAAATACAGTCTCACTGAAATAGTCAAATAGCAGAATTATTCAGAGGAAAACTAAGAGGTCACCATTGCTTGCATACTTTCAATTCTTTGTGTATGAATTTAAGTACATAAATATGTATGCATGTAACATAAGTTATTTTTTGGTTGTCTAAACATAGTCATATTTTACATGTTTTATGTATTTTTTTAACTTGATAACATGTCTTAGATCATTCCATATTAGAATATATAAATTCCTCTTATTCTCTTCATAGCTGCTTAATTTTTTCATATATTTTTTATATTGATGGACATTAGCCTGTTTCCAATTTTTTACTTTTGCAGAAAATGTTAATGAACATTATTAGAGTTTTCTTATTAAAATATTAATTAATTCTTATTAAAACATTTATTTTGTCTTCAGATTATTGAGAGATGAAGTAGTAAATGTCTTGCATATGAAATCTTAGACATTGTATGCTCAAGTCAGAACAAAACTTAGATTTTTTTTTTTAATTGTGGTAAAGTATACTAGGCCTTGGAGAACCTATTCATATGGTTTTGTAAATTTTCCTTTTTTGGTAGTCTCGTTTCACTCTTTGGGTAGACCTTTAAAGACCTGTGAGTGTGTTGCTCAAGTTTAATTCCTTTAGGTGTGGTTGCTGCATGCTTTTCCCTTCAATAACAAACAGCAGTAATGGCCAGTACTATCTTATGCTAAGCACAGAGTTGAGAACTTCTTGTATACACAGTCTCATTTCTTTCTCTCAGCAACACAGTGCAGTTGGTGGTATTTTTCAGGTTGAGTATTTAGAAATGATTTGGAGAAGTCAAGTCACATGTGAAGGTTAGATTTAGAATGCAAAGATTTCTGCTTCCAACTACGATGTCAGGATTTCACGGAATCTGAGATGGTGCTTTGCATCTATGACATCACAGTTACTTTCTAAATTACTTATATTTCTGTATTTCACCTTATAATACCAGTAATAATTTAACAAATGCAGAAATAGTTTGTGCTTTGGAGCTCTATTTTATAGAAAGTATTTATAATAAAAGCAATATACTAATATCGTTTGGTACAAAATTATTTTTTTTAACTTGAATATAGTGGGGTGATATTGGCTAGCAAAACCATACTTCAAGTGTATAACTCAACAAAAAACTTTCATCCTACATCATGTACCCACCGTCCCAAGCAAAGTCTCTTTTCCTCCTCATTTTCCCCCACTTTGCCCACCTCCACCTATACCACCCCCCTTCCCCTCTGGCTGTCACCACACTGTTGTATGTGTCTTATATATCTATTTTTTGTTTAATTCCTTCACCTTCTTTCATCCAGTCCTCCAACCACCCTCCCTGTGATAGCTATTAGTCTGTTCTCTATTATCTGTGAGTCTGTTTTATTTTGTTTGTCAGTTTATTTTGTTCATTAGATTCTACATGTAAGTGAGATCATATGGTATTTGTCTTTCTCTGGCTGGCTTATCTCACTTAGCATAGTAATCTCCATCCATCAGGGGGTTCCCTTTTTGTTTTGTTGATGGCTTCTTTGTTTGTGCAGAAGCTTTTTAGTTTGATGTAGTTCCATTTGCTTTTCTCCTTTGTTTCCCTTGTCCATGGAAATATATCAGCAAAAATATTGCTATGAGAAATGTCTGAAATTTTTCTTCTAGGATTTTTATGGTTTGGAATCTTACATGTAAGTCTTTAACCCATTTTGAGTTTATTCTTGTGTGTGGAATAAGAAGGTGGTCTAATTTCATTTTTTTGCCTGTGCCTGTCCAATTTTCCCAACATTTATTGAAGAGACTGTCTTTACTCCATTGTATGCTCTTGGCCTTCTTTGTCAAATATTAATTGACCATAAAGATGTGGGTTTATTTCTGGGCTCTCTTCTATTCCATTGATCTATATGCCTGTTCTTGTGTCATTACCAGGCTGTTTTGATTACAGTGGCCTTGTAGTATAGTTTGATATCAGGTATTATGATCTCCAACTTTTGTTCTTCTTTCCCAGGACGGCTGAGGGCATTAGGGGTCTTTTTTGGTTCCATATAAATTTTTGGAATATTTATTTTGATCTGTGAAATATGCTGTTGGTATTTTATAGGAATTGTTTTGAATCTGTAGATTGCTTTGGATAGTATAGGGGTCTTTTTTGGTTCCATATAAATTTTTGGAATATTTGTTTTGATCTGTGAAATATGCTGTTGGTATTTCATAGGAATTGTTTTGAATCTGTAGATTGCTTTGGATAGTATAGACATTTTAATAATGTTAATTCTTTTAATCCATGAACAAAAACACACTGAAATATATGTTCTCATAATTTAAATTACAGGCATAATTGTTTTAAGGAGCCATGGGTGGTTATTTCTCAATAACGATTATTATAAATGGAATTTTAGCAAATATATGGTTTCACATATATTCTTTGTGTACTCCTGTGTCACATTTCACATGAATGATAAAATAAAATAGAGGTTTAAGTGGCATGGTCTGGAGTCCATGTGATGGTGAGTTTCAGCTTTTTAATCCTTACTCAGTCTCCTTAATAAACAGAACTCCTTTTTAAACTTGAAATATGGGTCTGAATGGTTGAAGCAGACACCATATTGGGTGGGCTCTCAGCCTTACAGAATGAACTCTGTATTTTATTAAGAAGTAAGAAAATGTTTGATAAACCACAGTTCAGACATTATGTTGCCTCATTTCCGGTTTTTAATTTATGAGTATTCTTTAAAAGACATATTTTGGCTAGTACATATTTGATAACTGACTGACAGAAGAGAATGGGTGCGTTGGCTCACCTTCTTGTGTTGACTTGCTCACTAAGAATTAGTCTGGCACCACAGAGTGGGTTTACATCACAGGAAGCAATTGGGTGGTAGTGACTTTTAGTTAATATTGTTATATAGTATACTCAAATCAATAACCTAAAGCAGTCTACTCTAAACAGTACATTTAAAAAATGGTCTCAGATTTATCTTTTTCTAGATTTGCTAATTTGTTTGGCAAGATCCAGAAACAACATTGTATTTTATTGCTACCTACTTGGGGCTGCTTTCTGAGATGACACATCCCACCCTTTAGAGGAATTCATTCCTTTTTCTAAAATGTAGTATTTGTTATTTTTATCCATGTTCTGGACTTAAATTTCCAGCTTTCAGAATTTAAATATTCATGTACATTCTGTCCTAGTGGCATTATATAAGGATCCTCCCCTCTTTTAATATGTGGACATTACATTCCTTGGCCTAGTATTTGTTTTGCATCTGTATTTCAGTGTAATCCTAACAAGTTCATTCAAGCAGTGGTTGAACTGAGGTTAAGTGGTATTATGGTTGTTTGGCAGGATATGGCCATAAACACTTCTCTTTAAACACAGAATCGCCTGGGGTGACTGTAATATTCAATTGCATAATCATAGGTTACACTTTACAAACACTAGAATGAGTACATGGGCCGAATACACCTTCAATGAGAAATGGCTCAATGGGATAAAGTCTACTTTAGAAATGATCTGTAGAATTCCCTTAAAACTATTATAATTAGTACTAGAGGCCTGGTACACAAAATTTGTGCACGGGGCAGGGGATCCCTCAGCCTGGCCTGCACCCTCTCGCAATCCGGGACTGCTGGCTCCTAACCACTCTGCCTGCCTGCCTCATTGCCCTTAACCACTCACCTGCCTGCCTGATTGCCCCTAACCGCTCTCCTGCCTGCCTGATTGCCCCTAACCGCTCTCTTGCCTGCCTGATTGCCCCTAACCGCCTCTGCCTCGGCCCCTGCCTGCGATGGCAGCTGTCTCAAACCCCGCTGCTGCGGCTTTATCTGGAAGGTCGTCTGGAAGGATGACTGGAATGACATCCGGAAGGTCGTTTGGCTGTCCGGTCTAAGTAGCATATTACCCTTTTATTATTATAGATTATGCATTTAATAAGAATGTTTTGATTGGGTGGATCAATGAATAGTTTGTCAGGGTTTCCAGTAAGTCTCCCACCTAACATGTAAAGGAATAGGTTAAAATGTTACCAGTGTTTTGAATATGTATTATATAGATAAAATTTTTTTATCATATTTTTTTCTCTCTTATTTCTCCCTTCCTGATATTTTTGTGATTTCAAAGTTGTTTTGCAAAGGATACCCTCAGAAGTATTTCACTCTAGGCAGTGGTTCTCAACTTTCTGGCCCTTTAAATACAGTTCCTCATGTTCTGACCCCCAACTATAAAATTATTTTCGTTGCTACTTCATAACTGTAATTTTGCTACTGTTATGAATCTTAATGTAAATATCTGATATGCAGGATGGTCTTAGGCAACCCCTGTGAAAGGGTCATTTGACCGCCAAAGGGGTCGCGACCCACAGGTTGAGAACCGCTGCTCTAGAGACAAGATAGAGTGGGTTTGGAGTCACTGTATTGGAAATGAGCAGTAATGTGTCTATGTTGAGCAGTGATGGCAAACCTTTTGAGCTCGGCGTGTCAGCATTTTGAAAAACCCTAACTTAACTCTGGTGCCGTGTCACATATAGAAATTTTTTGATATTTGCAACCATAGTAAAACAAAGATTTATATTTTTTATATTTATTTTATATATTTGAATGCCATTTAACAAAGAAAAATTAACCAAAAAATGAGTTTGCGTGTCACCTCTGACACGCGTGTCACCTCTGACACGCGTGTCATAGGTTTGCCATCACTGGTGTAGAGCAACTCTACTGTGGGTGTGAGGTAGTATTGGACAACACTCCATTTACTGTGGGCAGCCCAAGAAATGAAATGAGATGCCTGTTACAGTGGGTAAAAAGGCCTTTTGGGCATATTATATATTTCTTGAGTCTGTTGTGAATATTTTTCAAAAAATTTTTTACTTCTTTAATTATCATTTGCAATATTTTTCAGAAAATTGGATATATTTGATACTGAACTCAGTGTTTTCATACTCTTAACTTTTAATAAAGTTTGTTAACCATTTATTCTTTAATTTACAAATAGGAGTTCTATTTTTCTTTTGGTAGCTGTCAACATATGTTTCTCATGTATTTTATTCAAACTGATTTTGTCTGTAATCTTGTTTTTAGAGAAATCAAATTGTTTGGAAATATTTCCTTGACACAGGCCCCACGGCTGAACACTATAGATTTTTCGGAAGTTTCTTAATTTTTGCTTCATGTATTTTGAGGTGTGTATACATTCATAATTGTTATGCCTTCATGGTAAATTGTTCCTTTTATACTTATAATGTTCTTTTTTCTCTGGTAATACTCTTGGTCTTAAAAGTTGATTGGATGCTCTGTATGCGTGGTGGGTTGGCATTTGTGGTGGTCTACTCTGAGTGATTAGCTTGGGCCCTGCCGTTTCATTGGGAGTTCCTGATGCCAATTTTTATTGACCGTTTCTCTCAGATTGGTCAGTTTCTCTAGAAAAAGTTTTCCAGTCTATAAATCTGAAGGTGGCTGGATGCCTACTGTTAACTGATGCCCCATGTTTTTCAGGATAGAGACTCTCTATTGTGTCAGGCTAAATCTCATTAGTTCCCCACAGGATAACCCCCAGTCTCACACTTCTAAGTTGCTCAGTTGTTGGGTTAGGGAATTAATTGCTCCTTTACACAGACTCTAAAACCAGTTCCTTTTGTTTTCAGTCTCACCCTATACACAGACCTCAGTTCTGTAGCCTTTCTGGATTCTGCATCATGAGTAGACATTTTTTTAGCTGAATTTTCTTCCTAGTGACTTCCTCACCTCAACCCCAGCAGTTAGGCTTCAGCTTCCTCCAGTTTGCTAAATCAGTTTCCAGTTATACATTGTTTTTATATCTTTCAGAAATTTGTAGAAATCTCTCATATGCTGTTGTTTCTTCTCCTGTTTTTTAACAATTTATCATTTTAGGAGGAAATGAAGGTAAGCATATATTCAATCATCTTCTATAGGGACTTTTTAGTTTATTTACATGATGCCTTTTAATTAACATACATTATTGTTAAGCTGATCTTTAGGATGTAAAACACGAATTCAGTGTTATCTTTTGCTATATATGGCGAAAAGGAAATGTGTGTGTGTGTGTGTGGGGGGGGGGGGGGGTTCCCACTGTGTTTTAATGACTTGAAAACTAACATACTTATTGCTATGGATTTCATTTATGTTAGGAAGTATTTTGATGTTTACTTTCTTTATGCTTGGTTTGGTAAACATTGAGCACTCAGTAATTTACACATTTTCCATTTTACAGTTTTCATAGTACTGTCATTTTTTTTGTTGGAAGGGGCAAATAATTGCATAAATATTATAAATGATTAGTTATCTTTGTATTTTGAGAATGTGTTAATTGTTGCTATATTCTTTCAAATGCCTTATTTTTGAAAATAAACACATTAGGGCTATTATATAAAATAGAGATTTCCTTGACCCTGAGATACCTGGGTAAATCAGTTAAATACACTGCCATCTTCTTGACCTATAAATGGGAAATATAAAATTTATAGGATTGTTAAGCCTATCTTACTTGTAAGATAACAGACAGGAGAATGTTTTAAAAATTGTAAAGGAGGACATCTGTGTAAGGTGGTGTGATGAGTAATTAATGTGTCCTTGGGCAGTCAGGAATTAAAGTATCCTATCTAATAATAGACAAACATGTAATTAACTGTAACTTCACTACCCTTCCCATTGGCTAATCAGGGCGATATGCAAATTAACTGCCAACCAAGATGGCGGCCTGCAGCCAGGCAGCTGAAACGAACAGGAGGCTTGCTTGCTCCAGTGATGGAGGAAGCCAACGTTCCCCGCCTGCTGCTGCCGGCCTCTGAGCTGCACTCTAAGAAACAATGTTGCAATTATAGAAGCTAAACAAGCTCCAGATACCTGCTTTCAGCCAGCTTTGGCCTCAGAGCTTAGAGCGGCAGTGATGGCAACAATGTTTCAATTATAGAAGCTAAACAAACCCAGATACCTGCTTTCAGCCAGCCGCAGCCTCAGAGCTGGAGCTGGCTCTCAGCTCAGTGACAGCCACAGAAGGTAAATAAATCCCAGAAAAAAGCCCCCACAAAACAACAACAACAACAACAACAACAACAAAAAACCAGAAAAAAAGTAGAGGCTGGGAGCTTCAGTTGCCCGCCAGGCTGAAAACGGCCCTTAGCCTCTCACCCAGACTGGCCAGGCACACCAGTGGGGACCCCCACCCTGAAGGGGGTGTGACCAGCTGCAAACAGCCATCATCCCCTCATCCAGGCTGGCCAGGCACCCAAGCGGGACCCCCACCCTTATCTGGGACACCCTTCAGGGCAAAACAGCAGGCCCCCACCTGTGCACAAGGCCTCTATCCTATATAGTAAAAGGGTAATATGAAAACTGACTCTAACAGCAGAAGGACTGGGACTGACTGGTCACTATGACACACACTGACCACCAGGGGGCAGACGCTCAATGCAGGAGCTGCCCTCTGGTGGTCAGGGTGCTCTCACATGGGTGGAGCTCTGCTCAGCCACAAGCCAGGCTGATGGCTGCCAGTACAGTGGTGGTAGTGGGAGCCTCTCTTGCCTCCTCAGCAGCGCTAAAGATGTCTGACTGCAGTTTAGGCCTGCTCCCCGCTGGCAAGTGGACATCCCCCGAGGGCTGCTGGGCTGCCAGAGGGATGTCTGATTGCCATCTTAGGCCCAATCCCCCCGGGGAGCGGGCCTAAGCCAGCAGGTGGTCATCCCCTGAGGGGTCCCAGACTACAAGAGGGCACAGGCCAGGCTGAGGGACCCCCCCTCCCCCGCCCCCCCACCGAGTGCACAAATTTTTGTGCACTGGGCCTCTAGTTTGTATATATGCTCTCTGGTAATTGAATACTTCTTGCAAATAACTTTTAGTTGAATATTCTTCATGGCGTAGAACTTGTCCTGTGCTTTGCAAAATGATGTTCATTTCATGATACTTGTGAAGGCCAGGGTCAGTCCTAGTGCTGTTATTTAAAGGAGCTCAAGAACTCATAGACCTCTAAGTTGTTCTGTGTTCAACCTAGAATTTTGGGATGCTTTCCAAAGACTCCTGTTAGGTTGCCAGTCTTATCCCTGGAGAACTTATATCTTGAGATATTGTCTGCCTGTGGAATGTCAGCCAATTTAGTTTGTCTGGGGAACAGGATATTAAGGAATAGGATAAAGGTCTGTTTTTTGGGAAGGAGGGTAGAACAAATCTAAAATCTAGAGCAGTGTCAGGGTGGTAGGCCTTGATAACGAGCCATAGCTATTAGCCTTGGGAAGCAAGGAAGTGATCTCAAGTGGAGTAGGGATAATATGGCTATGTTGTAGTACTTTTAGATCCAGCCCTGTCTCATCTCGTAATCATCATCATACTTCTGTGGTTGTCATATTTAAGCATAAAATCCATTGCACTTGAATTCCAAAGGTCTAGTAAGTACTAGCAGCTTAGCAACACTTACTGGTAATATGCTCTTCCTGTAAGCCTCTTAAAGCTTGTTTCAGATGCGAGGAAAAAATGGAAGTTTTCCCACTCTTAATTAGGAGAACTGGGGGGATAAAAGAATATTAATAATTGGCTATTTCTGTTATAGCACAATTGGCATTTAGATAAAGTATAAAGCATTAATTGATGTCATGTATTTAATGAGTGTACAATCTTCCCTTTCCCTGCCTCTTCTGCTCTTATTTATTTTGGAAGCAGCTAGGATATAGAGGAAATGATAAGTTTATAGTGATTTTGTCAATTTGGGGATATAGTGATCAATACATTAGAAATATATTTTTTAAAAATAGAAAATAGATTCATCTAGTCACAACTTTTATATTTGTTGATACAAGGTATAAATAGCCTTGGTGCATGAAAATTCATAGGGGTATTGGTTTTAGAAGCCATTTGAGTGCATTGCATTTGCTTATAATCTTTTTGGTTATGGGCAACAACAGTGGGATGTATATATATTTTAATATATTTTTCATTGATTTCAGGGAAGAAGGGAGAGGGATAGAGAGATAAAAACATCAATGATGAGAGAGCATCTACTGGGGATTGAGCCCACAACCTGCGCATGTGCCCTGTCCAGGAATTAACTGTGCCTTCCTGGTTCATAGATCGACACTGAGCACACCGGCCAGGCTACAGTGGGATATTTTCATAGATTTCTGATATACTGTGTGTGTGCCAGTCAGGTGGCTCATTCTTGGGACCCTCGTCTCTGTGAATGTATTTCTGGGATGGTAACCTCACCTTTCTTCTGTATCCAATTCCTTCTTTTTGAATCCATGATATACAGTGTGATACTATGGAAAATAATTGCATATGTACATATTTTTACTCCTTCACTCGTCTCTCGGCCTCCCTCTGGCAAGCACCAGTCTGTTCTCTGTATCTGTGAGCTTGTTAGCATACATGTATTTTAAGGATAGGGCAGTCCCATTTGAATTCTGTTTTATTTTCTCTTGTTTTGTTAATTTTATTTGTTTAAGGCTCTTTCTTAGAAAGTCTCTGATACTGCATAATAGATGAAGACTGTCTTTGAACTGCTTTCATGAGCTTGAATGTCAAAATGTTTTTATTGTAAGAGGAAGCCAATCCTAGTTAACACTTTTCTGTGCTAATTAAAGCTTAGGATTTTAATCAAATGTTACTTAGCAATAATTATGTTGCTGAGTTAGATCAGCGATGGAGGAGAGTGATGATGCTGGTCTTCCCGTTCCTTTCACTAGGGACAGGGCACCAAAAGTAGAGGTCTGTGCAGTTTGGTATTGACACTGCTGTTATGTAAGCCAAGCAAGCGTTCTGGGAGGTTCCTGGTTGGCCTTCCTTTGTCTGGGTGGTAGAAAGCAGTAAAATCCAGATAGAATAGGCTTTAGAATCTGGATAAGCAGGAAAAATGGCATTGCTATGGAAACTTTGTTCCACCTTTTGCAAATAAGTAACAGAAAAGTAACAATAACCTAAACAGATTTACATTAGAACTAGTTTGGAGAATTAAGAAAGATTTGTTTACCCAGCAGCAGTTTAAAGGTGACTCAGATTTGTCAGTAACTGAAGAATTTATTATTGACTTTTCTGTAGGATTCACTAACAAAGGAACTACAGAAAACTGAACTGAGCTTCTCTTTCAGTATGGGTTTTTATTAGGAAGAATAAGTTGGTAGATGTCACAGCAATTTAAGAAGCTCTAGTCTGTTCTTGACTTAATTAAAGAGGAGAG